GAACCGGGTAGCCTGCGGGGCCACCTCGGGGCAACTTGAGGTCTGGTTTTACTCGTAGCTTGACCTATCCGGTGTGTCCTGAGAACGAGATACGTGCGACTCCTATCGGGATTGTCGACACATCGGGCGGCTTTGCTGGTCTTGTTTTACCATTGTCGAAATGTCTTGTAGACCGGGATTCCGAAACTGATTGGGTCTTCCTGGGAGAAGGAATAGCCTTTGTTGACCGTGGGAGCTTGTGATGGGCTAAGTTGGGACACCCCTGCAGGGTATAAACTTTTGAGAGACGTGCCCGTGGTTATGTGGCAGATGGGAATTTGTTAATATCCGGTTGTAGAGAACTTGACACTAGATTCAGATTAAAACGCATCAACCGTGTGTGTAGCCGTGATGGTCTCTTCTCGGCGGAGTCCGGAAAGTGAACACGGTTTTGGGTTATGTTTGAACGTAAGTAGTTTCAGGATCACTTCTTGATCACTTCTAGCTCTCGACCGTTCCGTTTGCTTCTCTTCTCGCTCTTATTTGCGTATGTTAGCCACCATATATGCTTAGTCGTTGCTGCAACCTCACCACTTATCCATTCCTTTACCCATTAATCTTAGCTAGTCTTGATACCCATGGTAATGGGATTGCTGAGTCCTCGTGGCTCACAGATTACTACAACAATAGTTGCAGGTGCAGGTTATGCGATGATCATGACGTGAGAGCGATGTTTGCTTGTTTTGGAGTTCTTCTTCTGCTTCTTCTTCGATCAGGGGATAGGTTCCAGGTCGGCAGCCTGGGATAGCAGGGTGGATATCGTTTGAGCTTCTGTTTGTGTTTCATCCATAGTCAGATGGTGCTCTTACGTATGATGATGTTGTATTCGTGTGGCATTGTATGCCTCTTGTATGTATCCCCAACTATGATGTAATGGTACGATGTAATGATATCCACCTTGCAAAAGCGTCTCCAGTATGCGCTTCTATCCTTGGTGGGACCTTCGAGTTCCTTTAGGATAGGGTCGCATATTGGGCGTGACAACAAAGCATGAAGACGACATTGCAGATGATATGTTATCTCGAATCTCCTTGGTGGCTTTATCACCTGACCAGTACTCATAGTTACACGAGGGCTCTGGATTTAGATCCTGTAGGAGAATATCAACATTTGCGGTCAGCTGATGTAAATTCAATGGAAAATCGCGCCACTTGCAATATCAGATGAAAAAGGCTATTTTGGAGAAACATTTGATTTTCTTCACCAGATGAAAACTTTCAATTGCTTTACCCGATGGAATTTTTCATTGTCATCAAGTTTAGAAGTTTCTGGACATTATTAAAAAATATATGTTGGGGAGGGTAAATTATATATGTTTCAAGATCAAATTCAATCACCTCTATGTCTATCTACTAAATTTCATGATGATTTGGTTGCTTTAAATTGGTACAACTATAATGGAGACATCATATGGGCATAGCCAATGTATTTTTTTCACCAAAAATGTTCAAGACCAAGGAACTGTTGTTATATTGAGGGGTATATAAATGAGCAGAGGGCATATGCTAGTTCTTCTGCTAAAGTTTATCACACATATACTCTTTGTATATCTGCATATCTATCATTAGCCACCATGTGCATAGACAAAGAAACACTAAATCAAAAAAATATAACGATAGAAAACCATAGATACGCTATTACAAGATTTTGGTTTCCTTTTTCTTATGGTTTCTTTTCGATTTCTGATTTTTTGGCCCGGTTTTTTCTGAGAAAAAAATTTCGTCCAAAACTAGTAACGCGAGATCTAATTTTGAAGATCTCTGCGTGTGTAATGCAATGTTGCCATACATTTCATGATTAGTGTGCCACTTTTCACTACCAAAAACGATGTGAGTAACCTTTGCAAAGATACCTTTTCACTAGTGAGTTCGCGTAATTGGTCCGTCCTTTTTCACTTTTTGTTGCCCACAACCAATTAACTCAACGATAATTCTATATCTACGAATAGACTATGAAGGCCCACCTAACCTTTCAAACAAATCCTCTCGGCCCCGATTTTCACGAGGGGAGGGCCAGGGGCCCAGCCGCTAATCCTGACCCAATTAATCACTTCCACATTAGCTTCTACCTAAAAGCTTCATGTAAGTTTTCGTATGGGTAGCATTGCTCTAATTCAATGCCTTGAAAACTAATTCAGCGCAGTAGTTGAGGTTGTCTGGAAAAAGTTTATTCATAAGCATTGGTGCCTAGAGAGCCATAATAGACTTGTTGTAGCGGCTGAGGCGTTTAAGGCTAGTCGTAGTGGGAGTATCATAGGTAGTATCATGCATGCCAACTAAGCAATATTGATGAGGTGGCATAGAATTAAATGAAGAAAGAGATGCTTGAGTATCATACTGTATCATGATACCGTATCATATTAAATAGTGTGCTACTTTATGTCATGCATGACAATAAATGTAGTCATGTATGATACGGATGTATTATCATACACTAGTATTATTCGCATGATATAGTATATGATACTCCCATTACAACCAGGCTAACTTAATTTTGTAGCAGAATTAATGATTCAGTACAATAACCCTATTCATGAGTTGTGATGGCATTGTCTGTAGCGCATATCATATGAGTTTGGTAGCTACTGCTAACATGCGACCTTGTGTGCAAGCGCGCTGACTTCCCTGGTACAGCCGTGCATTCTCCTCGGAAGGAATCCGTCCGATCAATGGAGTCGTTGGCCAACGCAGGAGCAGCATCCACCGAGCGCCTGGCGGCGCACGTCGTGCTGCTGGCCAGCCCGGGAGCCGGCCACCTCATCCCGCTGGCCGAACTGGCGCGGCGGCTCGTCGACCACCAGGGCTTCGCGGCCACGCTCGTCACCTTCACCGACCTCTCCTCCCCGGCGGCCCTCTCCGGCGTCCCCACCTGCGTCGCCACAGCCGCGCTCCCGCCTGTCCCGCTCGACGACCTCCCCGCCGGCACTAGTGTGGATATCGTGCTTCTCGAGCTCATTCGTCGTTCCCTACCCAGCCTGCGCGCCCTCCTCCGGTCCGTCGGTGCCCCGCTCGCCGCGCTGGTGCCGGACTTCTTCTGCTCCGCGGCGCTGCCGCTCGCTGCCGAGCTCGGCGTCCCGGGCTACGTCTTCATGCCCAGCAACCTCACCGCCCTCGCCGTTATGCGCGCCGCGGTGGAGCTCCACGACGGCGTTGCCCCCGGCGAGTACCGCGACCTCCCCGACCCACTGGAGCTCCCCGGGGGCGTGTCGCTGCGCCGCGCCGACCTGCCGCCCTCGTTCCGGAGATGCGGCGAGCCGGTCTACGCGCACCTACTGGAGGAGGGCCGGCGGTACCGCCGCGCTGATGGCTTCCTGGTGAACACCTTCTACGAGGTGGAGCCCGCCACCGTGGAAGAGTTCAAGCTGGCAACGGAGCGAGGCGCGTTCCCGCCCGTGTTCCCAGTTGGGCCGTTCGTCCGGCCAGGCACAATCTCCGACGAAGCCGTCGGCGCGTCCGCGTGCCTAGACTGGCTGGATCTCCAGCCGACCGGATCCGTGGTGTACGTCTCCTTCGGGAGCGGCGGGTCGCTGACCGTGCAGCAGACGGCCGAGCTCGCCGCTGGGCTGGAAGCGAGCGGCCACCAGTTCCTCTGGGTCGTGAGGATGCCAAATCTGGACGGTGGCAACGACGGCCGTGACCGTGAAGACGACAATGCGAACCCGTTGGCGTGGCTGCCGGAGGGCTTCCTGGAGAGGACCAAGGACAAGGGGCTGGCCGTGGCGGCGTGGGCGCCTCAGGTGCGCGTACTGTCCCATCCGGCGACGGCAGCATTCGTGTCGCACTGCGGCTGGAACTCCACGCTGGAGAGCGTGACGGCCGGCGTGCCGATGGTGGCGTGGCCGCTGTACGCGGAGCAGCGGATGAACGCCGTGGCCCTGGTAGGGAGCGTCGGGGTGGCTCTGCCGCTGCGTCCGCGGGAGGCCGACGGCGTGGTGGCGCGCGACGAGATCGCGGGCGCCGTGAAGGAGCTGATGGAGAGTGCGGAGAAGGGGCACGCCGTGCGGCGGCAGGCCGGGGACCTGCAGCAGGCGGCGGCGCGCGCGTGGTCGCCGGAAGGGTCGTCCCGCCGGGCGCTGGAGGAAGTCGCCGCCACGTGGAAGAAGGCGACGCTCGGCAAGGTGAAGTAACGGACGCCGGACGGACGCGCGCCCGGGGGCCCCGGGCGGCAAAGCGGCGATGGGTTGGCGTGGTGTGTACTGCTTCTGTACCGGCTGTGTATGTTTTGATTTTATTTTTCTTTTCTGTGAACGCGTGTAGTGCGTTTTAATTGTTTTTCCAAAATAAAAAAGCTTGTCTGACCGACCGACGGCTAACGCGATCACCGTTCGTCCTTTGCAGTGCAATGG